AACAAATTGAGGCTCGAGCGCTACTCGATACAGGATCCGATTCATCCCTGGTCACGGTGGCTCAAGCTCTGCACCTGTCACGGCGGGCGGTCAGGGTCACCATTTCCGGCGTGCAAGAGCAGGAAAGTGGAGTAGCAACGGGCAAGGTGGAATTCATCCTGAGACCTCGATATTCGTCGACCTTTCGCTTGCCCATCCGCGCTGTAGACTTACGAAAGGTCACGTCATTCCTGCCAGCTCACCAGGTCCCTCCAACGTCGTGGCCACATTTCGAGAGCATCACATTGGCGGATCAGATTTTGGGGTACTTGCGAGGGTTGACCTCATCCTTAGAGCAGACGATTGTGGAAGCCTCTTCCAGGATGCAACCCGAATTGGACTTACAGGGACGACGACGGCCAAACAGACCCCGCTCGGATGGGTGCTGATGGGACCAACTTCTGCCGTGAATGCTTCGTCGGAAGACGTAGTCCGCTCCTTCCACTGCCATGCCGAGGAGAGCACGCATCAACTACTCTAATGCTTTTGGGAACTGGAGGAACTCTCCCAAGAAGCACCTCTCTCTGCAGACGAGGAACGCGCTGAGAAGCATTTTCGGGAAACCCACAAGAAGGATCGAACCTGTCGCTATGTTGTCCGCTTACCCTTTCAACGAGATCCCGCCGTCGCTCTGGGCCGCTCTAGGTCATTAGCTCTGAAGCTAATCCTTAATTGCGAAAGCCGACTTGCTTCGAACGCTCCGCTGAAGGAAAGCTACACAAAATTCATGTCCGAATATTTATCGTTACAGCACATGGAAGCCGTATCAATCGAAGCGGACAGGGACCAAGCTTACTACCTTCCGCACCATGCTGTGGTAAAACGCTCTTTTCCTACGTCTTCAGGCGTCTCGCTCAACGATCGCCTTTCCGCCAGTCCGAAGCTGCAAGCTGATCTTTGGATGTTCCTTATTCGTTGGCGCCTCTTTCGAATGTGTTTGCGACGGATATTGTGAAAATGTACCGGCAAATTCGAGTCGATCCGTCGGATGCACCCTGGCAGCGAGTTCTTTGGCGCTCCAGTCCGGACGACCCGGTGCAGGACTTCAACCTAACGACCATCACCCATGGAACGGCTTCCCCATTTCTGGCACTTCGGGTGATGGATCAACTGGCCGCCGAAAAGAACATCGCATCCCTCTCGGAGTCATGGCGTTGCGACGTCACCGCTATGTGGATGATATTCTGGCTGGCGCAGATAATGAAGATCAAGTTCGAGAACACAGACGTCAAGTGACCGCCATCCTCGAGACGGGAGCCTTCGAGCTGAGCAAATGGACGTCAAACTTACCGAAGCTCCAAGATCCCGAGGCCATCGGTTCACACCTCTTCCAGGAAGCGGAAGGACTCAATACTCTAGGGATCAAATGGAGTCCACAGCATGACACGCTAGTGCTTCGGGTCGCCGCTCCTGTGAGTGCTGCCAGGATGTACTCGAAGCGGTCAATTCTCTCTGACGTGGCCAGCCTCTTTGACCCGCTGGGATGGGCCGCGCCAGTTCTAATCTAAGCAAAAATTCTGATGATGAAAATTTGGATTCTTGGCGTAGACTGTGTGGTGGTACCACGCCGGACCCACTACTCTTCGGGGAATACTCTCGAGCTCCACGGATTTTGCGACGCTTCCCAGCGCGCCTACGCCGCCGCAGTGTACCTCTGTTCGAGAAAATGCGAAACCGGAGAGAACTGCGAAGGAAGCACGCACTTTGTAACGTTCACAATTACGTTTATTACAATGAGCAGGAAGAAATATGTAGAAAAGTCACGCACAGAAAAATCAGAGAGGACACACGCGGATATGTACACTTATGAACTATTTAACAAATTAGTCTTAACGAAATATATACATTTAACATCTAATGAGCGTAATTAAATCACGCGAGGACACTACGATAATCACGAAACGGCGCGGTCTGAAAGATTCCGCGTCGCGTGTTCTGAGATAGACTTGTTACGATTTGCGGGAGCAGCGAATACACGTGGTAACGCGTCGAGCGATCGAATGAGCAGAAGGAAACCCGTAATGGCGTCTAGCGTGCCGGTTCCGACGTAGAGAGGGGACCGCGTGAACAAAGAGGTCCCAAGAGGTGCTGCCGCTGTCGGTAGCGACGCACCGGCGAAGTATTTTCGCTACCAACATCGTTGTTTTGCATGGACTTGGGGAATTTCGCCAACAACCTCCGAATGACTAAACATGGCATTGCCTCAACCACGCTTCTGGTCGCTAAAACCAAGGTGGCCTCTGTTAAAACGGTTAGCATCCCAAGACTGGAACTATGCGGAGCCGCCCTCCTCTCCAAACTTCTGGTGCAAGTGAAGAACGGGCTCAACTTACCTGCCCCGGTGACGGCATGGACCGATTCCAGCGTTGCCTTGACCTGAATCCGCGGACATGCATCGCTCTGAAAGCCTTTCGTCGCCCACCGGGTATCTGTCATTCAGACAAGCGTCGTCCAGCTCATCCAGCAGATTCACGATCTCCAGATTCTTCTCCCGCTCACGACTCGTCTCAGCCCTTGCGTACTGTTTTAGATTCGCAGAACTTAGGCCTTATTACTGAGCCCGCTGAGACCCATCCTTGATGAGAATGGCCTTCTGCGAGTCGGCGAGCGCCTCGTAGCTGCCTCGCTCTCCTACACTGAGAAGCATCTGTTGATCATTGCACGGACTTGTCCGCTGGCAAGACTGTTGGTCCTAGATGCTCACCTGTACACTCTTCACGGCGGCCCCCAGCTTACAAGCAGTATGGTCGCACGCCAATACTGGATCCTGCGTGGATGGACTTTGGTGAGAGCAGTAGTAAAAGGCTGTGTACGATGTGCACGCTTCTCTGGGCGCCTTGCCACTCAACTGATGGGCCAACTTCCGACGCAACGCATATCATCTCAACGTGCCTTCCTGATGGGATACTATTTGTAAGGTGTTCGGATCGGTAATCGGTAATACAGGGTGATCCTCTCGCTACGCTACCCAAAGGAAGTGCCGCCACAATAGAATGTAGTAGTCGACATTCCATTTCTGTCATCGCTTACTTGACCGAGGTGGCCCCTGCAGCGAAGACGGCTGTGTGCGTGAAAATGTGTTAAGAAAATATTCTGTTTTTCGCAGTGCTTAAATGGGACTTTTCTGCTCATTACACACATTTTCACTCACACAGCCGTCTTCGCTGCAGGGTCAAGTAAGCGATGACAGAAATGGGATGTCGACTTCTACATTCTATTGTGGCGGCACTTCCTTTGGGTAGCGTAGCGAGAGGATCACCCTGTAATAAATACTCTTTGTATTATAGATGAATAAGTAATCTAAATATATTATATATAAGTAATCTGAATATATTATATATAAGTAATCTGAATATATTTTATGTATGATATATATTAAGAATAAGTAAGTACGATAATTAAACAAAACGCTGTTCGCTCTTTGACACTCTACAAGGGATACATCGTGTTATTCGTGTGCCTAGCGACAAAAGCGATTCATCTGGAGGCAGTATCGGACCTGACGTCAGTGTCCTTCCTCGCTGCATTCCGTCGCTTCGTGGGTCGCCGAGGACGCTGCACCACCCTGCTCAGCGACAACAGCACGGTCTTTCGTGGAGCTGACCGGGAACTGGTGGCCCGACGCGAAACGTCGTTGCGCAGTCTGCGCTACTAATTCGTTCACGTTTGTAAATTTTATTCGAGTTGTGTATTTCTGTTATCTTGTTAAGTGTAAATAGTGTGATATATCGTCCTCGCTGTAATATACCATTGTGTTCAATTTTCGGTAATTACTATCATTGTCTGTGTTAATAAATTCCCTGTTATCGTTACTAAGGGTGCGTGTCTCATTTTCAGTCCTCTCAGACTACGCAATTTCTGGAACAATTGGTCCTTCGAATCGGATGAGGCACGCTCTTGTCGCGTAACGATCGTGTAGCAACGCTATTAGTTTAGTGAGCGTGAAGACTCAGTGTAGACTCTAAGTACAATATTACGAGACATTGACTCTATAGTTTTTTTTGTAACCATGCAGTGTGAATTTCGGTGGAGTGCTCAGTGACTCTCAAACTGTGAAACAATGCCGAATTCGAGAGATCCGTCGCCTGTGTCGCAGGACGAATCAGTGCCGGTCGCAAAGGCGGAAGGCGAGGCGCCCGTAGCACCCCTTCTCCTGCACCTGCCAGAAGAGCCCACGCCGCCATGTCAGGTCTCTCGAACACGCTCGCCCGCTCGACTCTCCTCCGAACTGCAGGTCCGCGTCAGGGTCCAGGAAGACCGCCTAGATACGCTTATTGCAATCGTCAAGGACCTCCAGGCGGCTGTCGCCAAGGAGCCGGTCGACGTCATTCCGAATGAGCTGGCGATCATTCGAGGTACCATTCTGGAGCTGCATGTCAGCTTCCAGCAGGAGCAACAGGCACTCAGCCGATTGTGACCCGTCTCGCAGCTCGAACACGGGTATTTTAAACAGAAGGTGGTCTCCTTGGACGAGCGAGTCGTTCTGACAGCACGGAAGCTCCTCGCACAGTTGGAACACCGAATCGTGCAGGCTCAGCCGACCCCGCAGACCAAGCCGCTCTCGCAGACAACGCAGCCAACGCAGAGACGATCAAGACTGCTCGAAATCTCGCTCCTCAAGTTCGAGGGAGTGTATAATAAATGGCAAGAGTTTAAGGCCGTTTTCTCTTCTGTCATTCGCGACCGCGCAGAGCTCACCGATCTCGACAGATTTCATTATCTCAAGGAATCCGTTTCATGGGAGGTTACAGGAATCCATTTCGCGTATCGATGGGAGACGCAGACCAAAACGGTACGTCCCTCGAAAGCTCAACACGACTTGGAACCTAAAAGAATCTAAAACACCAAGACTATATTCTCTTCAGCTTGATAGGCTTTACAAACAACTCATTAAAAAATTTAAGCCTAAAGCAAGCACTTTAGCACCTAACCTCAAAGCAGCAAGAACAAGCACGACAACCATGCGCGATGCAAGCGCCATCGCGCAACTTAGCGCGCAAGCGCAGCAGCCATCTGTCAGCGGATGGCAAAAACCAAAGAAGACCTCCAAAGTACCAAAGAGCGACATCGCTACCCCCTCACATGAACATAAAGAGAGTAACAACCGATTCCAAACGCTCTCCGATGAAGAATCAGACATGGATGCAGAGGACGTAAGTGCCAATATTACTACCGAAGTGAACGCTACCCCAAAAAAGATTCCAAAGCCGCCGCCACGCCGGTATACACTACCAACGCCACCTTGTCGGTGCTCATAAATATTGTCAAAAACCTGAAATTAACAAAATGCGATGTCACACTTAGAGAAGTAGACGGAAGAAGCCATCTACACGAAGCAGCTCGAGCACTATGAAACACTCAAGAAAAAGCTGGTAGAACGAAATATCCAGTTTTACACCTTCACCCCGAAAGGAATGAAGCACAATCAGAAATAGGCCATGGTTCCTGATCATAAATCTGTTATTCTCGATAACCAAGAGTAACCGAGAGAGACTCGTGTCAACCCTTTGAAGTCACCGAATATAGAAAAAGACAAACAGCGAAACAGACTTCGCAACATTCAATCTGGCAATCCCATTTGAAGTTGGAAAGGAAGAAACGTCGTGAAAACGTTACGAAATAGTGCGGAATATTACATGTTTTTCATTTGTGTCCAGTGCAATAGCAACGTAACAGTGAATAAAAATGTTTATTTACCTGAAAGAAAATTTTGTGAAAAGTGATAGTGACCATGTGGTTGAGTGAGTTCAATGATCTCGTCTGGAGGTCAGCTGTTCTTCGTAATTTGTTCCTTCCTCGAATGTTCAAGATCAACACAGTGACCCAGTGGGAATTATTTGCTTTCAGCATAGCAGGTTAATTTAGGAACGAATAGGTAAGTTTCATTTAAATTGTTTTCAAATTTTTATTAATTATTCCATTTCAAACATCTTTATTTGTTGTTTAGAATGTTTAGAATTTCCTTTTTTACGTTATGACAGGCGACAAGAGATTAGATTCCGTATTCATTTTAAACAACTAAAAATGTTCAACCAGTTCAATTTTTTTATTGTGTTATCCCAACGAGGTGCCGAGCCGTTCGTTCGCGACCTACGTCAAACCCCGCTTTCGTAGCCGACGCTGCCGTCGTTGAGCCCGCGTGCTGTACGCGCTCGGATTGGTCAGTGTTTTTGCTTAATAATTCAAAAACGAAGGTTCAAACAACATTTTCGCAAAGGAAAAAGTTGTTCAGAATCACCCCAACTACCACCCCTTCACGGGACCAACGCGAATTCTGGGACACCCTGTATACAGGGTGTTCGACAACAGATGGGAAAAATTTTAAGGGATCAAAATAAGACGAAAATCAAGAATACCGAAATAGCGTTATTTCCAGTAATTAACGTTTAAAAATTCGAGTCAAAAACGCCTGGAACCTCAAATCCGCCCAGCACCGACGACTGAACGTCAGGTCAGCAGGAGAAGGTACAGTCATAACCAAGAATTGTTGAATAGTAGTGTTACGCCCCGGCGGAAAACTAAAATTTATCCGCCTTGCGTCCCTTATCAAGCCCTTTGGGGTTACGAGAATTTCTCAATGTAAGGGGCGTGAGGAGGATGTTTTTTCTTTTCCGCCAATCTTTTCCATTCCTCCTCGATCTTGTGCACCCTCATCAAGCCTTTGGGTTACGAGAGTCTCCTCTATGTCGAGGATGTACAAGGGAGAGTTTGAGATTATTACTATTCTATTTTTGATTTCCTCTTTAGCTTTCTTTTCTTTAACTGCTCTACCCTGACCTCGTGTATCTAGTCAAGCCTCCACAGGTTCCGAGAATTTCTCATGCGAGGTACACGAGGAAAGGTTGTTCCTATTTTCTTCCTTTCAATAGTATTTGTAACCCTCCTTGAAACTATCGTCGCTCAACCATAGTAATAGCATACAAGCGCATAAAAACTCAAGTTCGCTCGAGAGAGAGCGATATCATAAACACCAGTGCTACGCAGTTAGCCAGTGCTTCGAATTACGGGAATTTCCCCAGTTAACTGCGTAGAAATAGGAAAATCGTAATAACTTCCTTCTGTAGGATGCTCTCTCTCTCCTTTTCGCACAAAGCGCCAGCATTACATGAATGCTAATGTATTTAGACAACGAAAGTAAGGAATGAGAACCCTTGGGAAAGCGAACGTCGCGAACGTTCGAACACCGTTTGAAATCAGGGGTCGTTTAAGGAAATAAACACCATTGTAATAAAAATACCGAGAAATTGCCTGGCGAAGAGGCCTAACGGCAAAATTTGAACAAAGGAACGTTCTCGAATCGACATTCGTTACATTAAAATTGTTTAAATTCACCATGAAGCGAAAGCGAATGCCGAAAATAAACCGATGAGAACTGTTTAACGAAATATGTTGACTGTCACGGCATTCCAATCACCGTAATCGCGCATCGTCAATTATTAGCTATCATAATTTAATAACTTTCTACAAGAACGAGAAAGTAACAAATTTTGATCTTTCGTTAAGTAAATTAAACGGATTGACAGCATTACATCCTGTACCTAAATTGTTTCATGTTTCACTTTAATTAATTGTTTCAAATTGATCAACGATTATCATTTTATAATTATATTAAATTTTGTATAACTGCGTAGAACATCAGAAACCGTTGAACGAAAATGGGCGACGAATTAGAAAGAGAAAAGAACACCAGAAAAAGGATAGAAGATTTTCGTCTAGCGCGAGCGTTTCGACCAATCACCACGCACGCGACGCTGCCGAAACGTACCCCGATTCGTCAAAACGTCCCCACGCAGGACGTCGATCGTGCGACGAGCCCTTCAGGCGACAATCGCGATCGGAATTCTGACTCTTGATCGATCAATCGTAAGTACGTGATCGGGAACCCGTGTGTCAGAGAGACAGAGTTATTTTCGAATATCGCGTAATTTGTTGCTCGGCAAAGTTCTTCGCGTAGCGAGGCAGTGTCGTGTGGGTGCAGTGACGCGCACGTTAAATTTTCCTTCTACCTAAAATTCTATCCATTTTTCTTTCATTTTTAATCCGTTGCTCGCGTAATTATTTCCGTATTAACTTCATTCTCGCGTATAATCAATTACTTTTAAACATCGTGATTCGTTTATCGTTGTGAACCTGTCTCTCGTCATCGTTTCGTATTCGTTAAATTCCAATTCGCCGCGACAAGTGCGTGTTCGACGAAAATCTCAACGTTTCTTTGGTGTTCCAGATCATCAAGCGAATTCTAAACGATATAACACAAGCAAAATTATTATTTTGTTTTGTTTAAACACCGATCCGGTAAGTCGATTCATTTACTTTACCGAAACACAACGGTTACATTTTGGCAAAACGGGCGATCTGATAAGCCTTCGGGTTCCGAGAGAGTCTCGCGTCAGATCGTTCCAACGTTTGAGGTATCGGAAATCTATATTTTATTGAATATTATCCGCAGTGCCTCTATTTCGCCAAACGATTCAAAACATTCAAACGGGGCGCCATTAAATTAATACAAAAGCGAAATAGCCGAACTCGCGTTTACGTCCGAAACGAACAATCAATTCGCGTCTCAAACTGTGATTCAAAGTGTATTTTATTTCCGCGGATAATTATTTCGTTAACTATACAATAAGCATCTTTACCCTTGTTAAAGATGATTCCAAGCCTTAAAATAAAGTAATTTTGTGTTGATATACAGGGTGTTCGACAACAGGTGGGCAATATTTTAAGGGGTGATTCTAGGGATCAAAATAAGACGAAAATCAAGAATAACGAAATAGCGTTTACGGCTCTGTTTTCCAGTTATTAACGTTTAAAAATTCGAGTAAAAAGTGCCAGAAACGTGCAATCCGCTCAGCACCGACGACCGAACGTCAGCTGAGCAGGGGTCGGTACAGTCATAACCAAGAATCGTTGAATAGTAGAAACTTACCTCGTGCTATTCTCCTATTTTTCTTTTTTTTTTCTTTTTTATCTCGGAGGAGGGGAAATGCTGTTACGCACAGCGAAACAAAATTCGGTAGTTTGGGACCACAAAATCCTCGTGCTATTCTTCTATTTTTCTTTTTTTTATCTTCACATTGAATTTCCTTTAAATAACAACCACCAAAACAATGTTACATTAAATGTTCAATATGTCCATCGTTTTGTTCAATAGATACGCGAATGCGTTTCCCGTAATTGAGTCTCGTGCAATGAAAATCGTCTGAAACGTTTTGAATATTCGTTGTTTTAATTCCTCGCCGTTCATTACCGTTGTTGTGTACACTAAACTTTTCAGGTGTCCCATAGAAAAAATTTCCAAGGATTGGAGTCAGGTGACCGGTCAAATATTTGGGTAGGTAGTAATTATAAAAGAGTCGAAGTGAGTGAGAGAGTTACTTCAGGTAAAGGACAAATTTTGGTGAGCTGCAACGAAACAATTAGTGATGCGCACGAGACGAGATAAATTTCGATCTCGTCTCGATCTCGTCTCGAAATCGAGACGAGATTCGAGATCGAGATTACTTGTGAGATTCGAGATCGATATCGAGATTCAGCATATCGAGATCTCGACGAGATCAAGATTATTTAAAATTCTCGTCGAGATCTTGACGAGATCTCATCAATATATTTTATTATTTAACCGATCGACAATACATATAACGTCGTGACTGCTGCGCTAAGAAACGACGCCACATACAATTTTGTTTATATTGCAAGTCGCTCCTCCTTTGATGGCAAGTCCCGACCGGCAGTCAGCGGGCCTTTTGTTTCTTTGTTTTTTATCTAGGCGCAATAAATGCGCGCAGCGACAAAGATCGTACACGTGCAGCGTGTATTGAACTTAGTCGGAAAAACGTTGCCGGTTTTCGAACATTTCGAGAGAAGAGGTAGAAGAGAAAGACAGTTCGGCTGTGCCTTCCGAGGAAAACGTACATTTCAATATTAGAGGTGAAAGGAAAAATTCAGCTAGAAACACTGTAACCATGTCTAAACGTCAGCATTGTGCAAATTCATCAGACTCTGACAGTGGCGGTCGAGAAGAGCCTTTTATATCATCTTCTTCATCTACACCGCAAAGAACAAAACTTTTAATATATTATAATGTGGATGTAGATGATAAAAAAGAAAAGTTTGGAATATGCAAGTTATGCGAAACACAAAAAATAAAGAAAATCATAAAAATGAAACAATCGAACACCACGGGATTGAAAAGACATTTAAAAATTGCTCACAGAAAAGAATTTAATAAATTGTACGGATCCACTTCACAATCAAATAATCAGCAACTTTTACATTTTCTGCAAACGAAGGTAATTTTAGTAAAATATAAATGAATGTATACACGCATGAGGTGTTGTATATACAAATAATTAAAAAATCATGCAAATTAACAAGCATGATTTGATAAAGTGAATAACACGTAAAAAGAGTACAGCTATTGTTAGATACATATGTTTTCCAAATACCACTCACGGTTAATTTTGTTACAAGATATTTTGTTTCCACGCAAATTACATATTGCACATTTGACTCAACAAAATTGTCATATATTTAACCCGTTTTCGCTTTACGAAATTTAAGATGGACACACAAAATGTTCTCGAAAATCACTCATGATGATACTCTCTTTGAAAATCAACCAACTTAATTTAAGATTATGTATATAAAAAAAAATGTTTGTAGTTTTCAAAATTTGCATACTAAAACTCTGTTTACCGTATATAAGCTTTTTATTTTTATTTTATTTACGTTAACCTTAATAACCATTTTATAATTAAATTAAAATTTCCCTACAGACTTAATATATAATTTTATTGAGATTTATAAATTAGGTTGCTTACGTTCTTTTTATAACGTTCATAAATAACATTTATTTGTTAATAAAAATTAATAAAAATAAATATCATTTATTTTTAATATCAGGTTCAGGCTTCATGTAGCAATATTAGCTTCACAGAAAAAATAGTACAGTGGTTGGCAATAAAATATTTGCCGTTCAATTTTTTTGATGATACTGCCACACAGAACTTTTTTACTGAATTAAATCCTAACATTGAGTATCCCAAACGCGATACTATGAAAAGAAGTGTATTGGAAATATTTAAAAAGAAGAAAGATGCAGTAATCAATATACTGGAAACTAATAAATCCAAGATTTCCTTCACGGTCGATGGTTGGACGTCCATTGCTGGAAAATCCTTTTATGGTATTACTGCACATTTTGTGGATGCTAACTGGAAACTACAATCCATAGTTTTAGACTTCGTACCATCCAACGGAGCCCACACTGGCAAGGACATAGCAATGTTGTTCTACAATTCTTTAAAAAACTTCAATATTGAGTCGAAGATTCAAGGTAATATCACGTACAGTTGCAAACAATGAAATTGTATCGTTTAAATTTGTAACTTCTCGATTTTTTATTTTCTTGAAACAAAGTACTGTTTACGGATAATAAAAAAATGTTGAAAATTATTTAACAATTTTGCTAAAGTAGATGTGGTGATCATAGGTATCGCCTTGGACAATGTTGCTAGTAATACTGTATTTATTCGAGAGCTACAGTTAATTTTACAAGGTGAAGGTATCGATTTCGACTGTGAAGATTGTCATTTTCGATGCTTTGCGCATATCTTAAACTTGGGAGTTCAGGATATGCTGCATGAAATACAATTAGATGATTCGGAAGAGTGTGAAGAAAGTAATTCCGATTATTCTGAAGATGAAGATAATATGGTTACAACAAATAATAATGCTCTCAATAGTCCCATTAAAAAAATTAGGGGTCTCTTTTTAAAATTAAAAAGATCTGAGCAAAGTACAAATATGCTGAAAAGTGCATGCACCATGACTGGCACCAAGTTTTTGTCGCCAAAGATCGATGTGTGTACACGCTGGAACTCGATTCATGACATGCTCAAAGTTGCATTATTGTTAAAGCCTGCACTGATTAGTCTGTTTCAAAGTAATACTGCATTTCACATGTATTTACTATCCGAAGAGGAATGGTGTTTGTGCTTAGAAGTACAGAAATTTCTAAAACATTTTAAAACTGTATCTACTCTTCTTGGCGGTGACAGCTATGTATCCTTACCGTACGTTATAGTAGCATTCAATATGCTTTTAGATAAAATCGAAAATAAGATGCGAACTTTAAACCGTACCGATAAATTGTTCAATGCATACCAAGCTGGTCGAGATAAATTACTTAAACATTATTATAAATCTAACTGGATTTACTGTATTTGCCTCGTACTAGATCCGAGGCACAAAATTGAAAGTTTTAATACCACAACCTGGGGAAAAGAAATGAAAGATCAAAGTATTAAAAAATTTGAAGACTTGTATAAGAACAAATATTTTATTTCTTCAGATAGCTCCATAATTAATGATTTCCGTAAATCCTCGACTGACGATGACGATGACATTGATATGAGTGTTGTATATGAGAAATCTGTCAGCGATTTAGATTGGACAAATGAATTAACAAAATATTATAACACAAGAAGAGCGGATAAGGATGTTGACATACTGTCATGGTGGTCAACTCATTCAAAAGAGTATCCCTGTTTATCAACAATGGCTCGGGACTTCCTAGGAACGCCGGCCACGTCTGTTCCAGCGGAACGTTTATTTTCTAAGGCTGGTTTAATTATACGCAAGCACCGTAACCAGCTAACTGCTGAATCTGCCAGGTCATTAATATGTCTGAATTCGTGGTACACCTCAAACTTACACACATTATTGTAATAAATTTTGATAAAATTTATTTGCTTTTGTATTTTTCCTTACTACATGACCTTTGTCTAGAATTTTAATATAAAATTGCTTATTGAAAACTTATTGCTCATATTATTTTAGGAGTTACGTTTATAAAATTGAATTATAAAATACAAATATGCAAACATATACAGGGTGTTTTATGTAACATAGGAGAGCTACAAGACATCCAGTAAAATTATTATTAACTTCTGAAGATGTGTAAATAATTGACAATAACTTTTGTAACTAATTTTTTGTCGACAGTAGAGACCTTACAACTTTCAAGTCTTTTAAAAAAAGGTTAAGGTAGGAACACCAAGTATATATAGTATACAGTATACATACTTTCCTGCTAAAATTTTAACAGATCTTTGCATATTTTGAACTATATTTTGTATCGCCAATCTCGTCGAGATCGAGATCGAGATCGAGATCATATATTCGAGATTCTCGAAAATTCGAGATCGATACGCATGTTTCGAGATTTTTCGAGATCAAGATCGAGATCGCAGAAATCTCGTCTCGTCTCGTCTCGTGCGCATCACTAGAAACAATAAATGACCCTGATATTGTTAGAGCTACGTGGAGTCAAGGTGAACGCCGACTATCATAAAATAATAGCTATTCTAGGTTTTTCCTAATTTACTTAATCCGTTTGACTTCTCGTGTTAGAAATTTTAAACCATGTTTATGGTGCGGCTATTCCGGACTGAAAATTAGTTTCCGCTCTTTAAAAAAAATAGGCGACATCCTATCCAAGTCATAACCCTGGTCGCCGTAGGTAAAGGACAAATTTTGGTGAACTGCAACGAAACAATAAATGATTTGGTTTTTTTTATCTCGAAAACGTACTCGGTACTTTATCTTGGTACTGCAGCATACGGCTTTTTCTTCCTATTTTTTATCTTCACATAAGAAAATCCCTTAACACAGATAAGCGACTATTTGTCCGATTTATTATCCATTCTAGCCATTATGTTGTATATTTTTAAACATTTGATAGCTCTGAAGGAAACTGATTCTTCAAGTCCGAAAATAGTAAATACATAGCAGTATTTACAAACTTTATAATCAAAATCCATTTTCTTACGTTTTCGAGATAAAAGAAACAAATTATTTTAAGAAATGACCGTACCCACCATAAAAATGAAAATTTCGAACACGAGACGTCAGACAGATTAAGTAAATTAGGACAATCCCAGCATACCTATTATTTTATGATAGTCGGCGCTCAACTCGGCTCCATATACCTACAATAATATCAGGGTCATTTATTGTTTCGTTCCAGCGCACCAAAATTTGTCCTTTACCTGAAGTAACTCTCTCACTCACTTAGACTCTTTTATAATTACTACCCACCCAAATATTTTAGCCAATGAAATTCTTTTCGTATTTTTACCCCCCCACGCAGAAATTTAACGTATACCCTAACATTATGCGAAAGCAGCAGATTCAAATTGACAGTCCTTAGATACGTTGCAAGGAAGTGTCTGTGAAGTGTCTGTGAAGTGTCTCTGAAGTGTTTCATTATTGTAATTCATAATGGAATACACTAATGAAGAATGTGCAGACATTCATATGTGCTACGGTCGAGCGGATGGTAAGGCTTGCGAAGCTCGAAGGATTTATCAACGATTATTCCCACAACGGAAGATACCAAATTTGGAATTCCTGCAGGACAAATTGCAATCGTGTTTAGAAGAAGTGCCATTAAACATTCTACAGGAATGCAAGATGAATATTATTATGATGAATAATAAATAAACATTATGCAAGATGGTGCACCACCACATTGGGCGGTGTACGTGAGAAATTACCTGAATGAACGATTCCAAAACAGGTGGATTGGCCGAGGGGACCCCGTTGCTTGGCATGCATGTTCACCTGACTTCAATCCCTTAGATTTTTTTCTATGGAGACATTTGAAGAATTTAGTGTATTCAACACCGATAACGAACAGTGACGAATTACAACGGGTATTGTTTACATCGGGAATAAGTCAACACGTTTTAGGTGATTTCCACCGGATGAGACTGAATTTCAAAAAACGCATTCGCGTATGTGTTGAACAGAACGGTGGACATGTTGAACATTTGATGTGATGTATTTTAGTGTTAATAGTGATTATTAGTTAATGTGAGTTTAATGTTAAATTTGGTGATTGTGTGGTGCAGGGGGAGGGGTATTAGTGGGTGTATGTACATTGTTTTAGTGTTAATAGTGATTATTAGTTAATGTGAGTTTAATGTTAAATGTTTTATTTTTAAATTTAGTGATTGTGTGGTGCAGGAGGAGGGGTTTTAGTGGGTATATCGAAAACGGAGAGTCCCACACTACCGAATTTTGTTTCACTGTGCGTAACAGCATTTCCCCTCCTCCGAGATAAAAAAGAAAAAAAAAAAGAAAAATAGGAGAATAGCACGAGGTAAGTTTCTACTATTCAACGATTCTTGGTTATGACTGTACCGACCCCTGCTCAGCTGACGTTCGGTCGTCGGTGCTGAGCGGATTGCAGGTTTCTGGCGCTTTTTACTCGAATTTTTAAACGTTAATAACTGGAAAACAAAGCCGTAAACGCTATTTCGTTATTCTTGATTTTCGTCTTATTTTGATCCCTAGAATCACCCCTTAAAATATTGCCCACCTGTTGTCGAACACCCTGTATATTGCGTTTTTATTATTATAATTCCCATAATCTAATATTTTTCATGTAGAATGAATAAATCGAATTGATCCAACAACGAAAGAATTATTCGTTGTACGATAGGAATTTAAAAAAAAATACTTTGTAGTCATTTTTGAAAAAAATATGAAAAAATGAATACACGATTTGGAAATAAAAAAAGTTTCCACAGAATAAAAAAAGGATTGAAATGGAATAACTAATAAACGTGTTAAGTGTGAAAACATTCAAAAATAATCTAAATGAAATTTACCCATTCGTCCGTAAATGAAAATAAAAATGGTTTCCTGTCACTGAGTCATCGTGCCAATCTTGACTACTCGGGGAGGGAATACGTTACGGAGAACAGCTGATCTTCAGACGGCATTATTGACCTCACTCAACCGCACGGTCACTATCACTTTTCACAGAATTTCACTACGTGGTCCGAAAGCTGTTGCAGTTGCTATTGCACTGGGCGCAAATGAAAAACATGTATTATTCCGCACTACTTCGTAACGTTTTCACGACGTTACTGGTCTTCCTTTCCAACTTCGAATGAAACTGCTAGCTTGAACGTCTGCAAGGTTGTTTTTGCTCTTTGTCCTTTTCTTCATTCGACAATATTCAATGGGTCGACACGTGCCTCTCTCGGTTACTTTTGGTTACCGAGACTAACAGATTTATGTCCACGAACCATAACCTATTTCCGAATGTAGAAAGAGGCAAAGAGCGAAACAGACCTCGCAGACGCTCAAGCTAGCAGTCCCATTTGAAGCTGGAAAGGAAGACCAATAACGTCGTGAAATCGTTACGAAGTATGTAGTGCAGAATATTACATGTTTTTCATTTGTGCCCAAAAGTTCGGTTAAAAGTGATTGTGACCGTGCGGTTGAGTGAGTTCAGTGACTCCGCCTGAAGATCAGTTAGATCATCTACGAACGAATGGGTAAATTTCATTTACATTATTTTTGCATTTTTTCAAATTTAACATGTTTATTGACTACAAAGTATTTTTTTTTAATCCACATCGAACAACGAATAAAAGTGTTGGGTCAATTCGATTTATTCATTCTACATGAGTAACGATTCATTACCTTATTCGTTGTTCATGAGAAACCAATAATTCGATACTATTATTCTTTTCTTTTTCTTTTAGTTCATTATTCTATACAACTTTTGTCCAACAAGTCCTATTATGCTGATGTATCGCATTTGCTTCGACCGAGCTGTTCGAATTGATCGAGCGATGCGTTGTTATTTTTTATCCGTTGGCTACCCCGGGCTTCCTAGCTGGGATCCAATCAACGCGCGGCAACTGATCTGGTACCCCGGAGACAGTTGCATTCGGTATGCATCGCCATTATTGTGTTTTTTGTGTTTGTGCCCGCAATTCCTTCCTTTGTGGTACATATAAAGTTAATAAAAGTGTTAACATTAATAAACGGCTTTTTTTATCCACAAAATAGTGATCCAAAGATCACGGACTTGTCAGACATTTCAAAACACGAGGGGGTTCGCCGCAAGTTACATCGGGTGAGTTCCTAACCTCCCGAAGATTTACCAGCTGATGTGATGCCGATGCATTTGATCACGACCACGGTTCGAACGCAAAACATACCCAACACTTTCGCGGTTCTGCCCGCGCTATATGCGCGCTCTGATTGGACAGTGGTTTTTGTTAATAACTCGAAAACGAAACCTTAACCAACATTTTGGCAAAAAAAAGTTGTTTAGAATGACCTCAGCAATCATCCCTCTACGGGATTTTCCCTAATTTTGGGACACCCTGTATATTCGGGCTTCTTTGCCATGTTTGTCGTAGCGTAATTTCATTTGATCGCGGTTCTTATTTAACAGTTTGTGTACTGATTCTCGACTCTCTTCGTTATCGAGTGTTTCGTTTAATTCCAGTAATTCGCGTGTTAATTAACGGACTAGTATCTATACCTTATACCTTTCCTATTAATAACGATTTGGTATGGTGTTCGTTTCGTAACGCTGTGTTTAACATTGTTAATGGACCACTGCACTTTTGCCAGATGCACATCCCAATCGTCTCCGTCCGCATTACACGTAGTTGCTACACAAGTAAATATATATCTATTTAGTCGTTCTATCTGGCCGTTCGCTCTTGGAGTTGAGGTAGCTATTTTTACATAATTTATGTCGGAGTTTTGATAGAACTGTTCAAATCCACCTGACATAAAGGCGGTGCCCCTGTCTGTAATGATACGCCGCGG